TTTTTTAAGATTTTAAAGGGTGTGTTTATTTAATTAAAGGGGTGGTTCCCGTGGTCCTATGTCGATGATGATTTTTTTTAGCTTGAAGGTGTCACGAGAAAGATTGCCACGAATTTTCAGGTCGATACTAGGCTTGTTTAAATTTTTTGGAATTTTTTTAGATTCTAAGAAGTGTGTTTATTTAAATAAAGGGGTGGTTCCCGTGGCCCTATGTCGATGATTATTTTTTTCTAGCTTCAAGGAACCACGAGAGCCATTGCTACGAATTTTCAGGTCGATGCTAGGTTTGTTTAAATTTTTTTGAATTGTCTAAATTTTAGAGGGTGTGTTTATTCAAGAAAAGGGGTGGTTCCCGTGGCCCTATGTCGATGATGATTTTTTTCAAGCTTGAAAGTACCACGAGAGAGATTATTATAAATTTTCAGGTCGATACTAGGCTTGTTTAAATTTTTTGGAACTTTTTTAGATTCTGAGGGGTGTTTATTTAAATAAAGGGGTGGTTCCCGTGGCCCTATGTCGATGATGATTTTTTTCAAACTTCAAGGTACCACGAGAGAGATTATTATAAATTTTCAGGTCGATAATAAGCTTGTTTGAATTTATTTGAATTTTTTAAGGTTTTAGAGGGTGAGTTTATTCAAGTAAAGGGGTGGTTCCCGTAGCCCAATGTCGATCATGATTTTTTTTTTAGCTTGAAGGTGTCACGAGAAAGATTGCCACGAATTTTCAGGTCGATACTAGGCTTGTTTGAATTTTTTTGAATTTTTTTAGATTCTGAGGGGTGTGTTTATTTCAATAAAGGGGTGGTTGCCGTGGCCATATGTCGATGATGATTTTATTCTAGCTTCAAGGAACCACGAGAGGCATTGCTACGAATTTTCAGGTCGATACTAGGCTTGTTTGAATTTTTTTGAATTTTGTAAGGTTTTAAAGGGTGTGTTTATTTAATTAAAGGGGTGGTTCCCGTGGCCCTATGTCGATGAAGATTTTTTTCAAGCTTGAACGTACCACGAGAGAGATTATTATAAATTTTCAGGTCGATACTAGGCTTGTTTGAATTTTTTTGAATTGTCTAAGGTTTTAGAGGGTGTGTTTATTCAAGTAAAGGGGTGGTTCCCGTGGTCCTATGTTGATGATGATTTTTTTCTAGCTTGAAGGTGTCAAGAGAGAAATTATTATAAATTTTCAGGTCGATACTAGGCCTGTTTGAATTTATTTGAATTTTTTTAGATTCTAAGGGTTGTGTTTATTTAAATAAAGGGGTGGTTCCCGTGGTCCTATGTCGATGATGATTTTTTTATAGGTTCAAGGTACCACGAGAGAGATTATTATAAATTTTCAGATCGATACTAGGCTTGTTTGAATTTATTTGAATTTTTAAGGTTTTAGAGGGTGTGTTTATTCAAGTAAAGGGGTGGTTCCCGTGGCCCAATGTCGATGATGATTTTTTTTTAGCTTGAAGGTGTCACGAGAAAGATTGCCACGAATTTTCAGGTCGATACTAGGCTTGTTTGAATTTTTTTGAATTTTTTTAGATTCTGAGGGGTGTGTTTATTTCAATAAAGGGGTGGTTGCCGTGGCCATATGTCGATGATGATTTTATTCTAGCTTCAAGGAACCACGAGAGGCATTGCTACGAATTTTCAGGTCGATACTAGGCTTGTTTGAATTTTTTTGAATTTTGTAAGGTTTTAAAGGGTGTGTTTATTTAATTAAAGGGGTGGTTCCCGTGGCCCTATGTCGATGAAGATTTTTTTCAAGCTTGAACGTACCACGAGAGAGATTATTATAAATTTTCAGGTCGATACTAGGCTTGTTTGAATTTTTTTGAATTGTCTAAGGTTTTAGAGGGTGTGTTTATTCAAGTAAAGGGGTGGTTCCCGTGGTCCTATGTTGATGATGATTTTTTTCTAGCTTGAAGGTGTCAAGAGAGAAATTATTATAAATTTTCAGGTCGATACTAGGCCTGTTTGAATTTATTTGAATTTTTTTAGAATCTAAGGGTTGTGTTTATTTAAATAAAGGGGTGGTTCCCGTGGTCCTATGTCGATGATGATTTTTTTATAGGTTCAAGGTACCACGAGAGAGATTATTATAAATTTTCAGATCGATACTAGGCTTGTTTGAATTTATTTGAATTTTTAAGGTTTTAGAGGGTGTGTTTATTCAAGTAAAGGGGTGGTTCCCGTGGCCCAATGTCGATGATGATTTTTTTTTAGCTTGAAGGTGTCACGAGAAAAATTGCCACGAATTTTGAGGTCGATACCAGGCTTGTTTGAATTTTTTAAGGTTTTAAAGGGTGTTTATTTAAATAAAGAGGTGGTTCCCATGGCCCTACGTCGATAATGATTTTTTTCTAGCCTTTGGTTAGCACGAGGAAGATTCTCTCGAATTTCTAGGACGATATTACCCCTGATTATGTTTCTTTGTAGTTTCTACACCTTTACAGGGTAAGTTTATCTAAGTGTAGGGGTTAATTTCGGGTTTGTCAGCAAAATATAATTTTGTCTACCTTTTTGTAACCGCTGGTAAGCTATGTGATGATTTCTAGCGAGATGCTAGCCAATCATTGAATTTTTTTTTTATATTTTCGTTTAAAAAAAAAACGTTTAGAACTTCAGGTACATAACACAGGAGCTTTATTTTTCCTTAATAACAAACGAGTGGTTTTTGTTTCAAACTTCTAGGACAAATATTTTCTGAGCTATGAATTATTTTGTAAATCCCTACAATTGCAAAAATAAGCATGTGCAGCGAAACAAAAATGGCCGCCAAAGGCAAAGGGTGTAAGATAAAATAATATAAAAATGGTTTTAGGGCCGGTCCTAAGACATAAAGGAGACCTTTAAGAAAGTTTAAATTTTTTAAAAAATGTCAAGTATCCATTTATTTTTTTCTTGATCACTTCTAATGGATTGACCAGGTGCTAAATCTAATCCTACATGCTTATTACTTAAAAAGATAAAGGTGAGCTCTTTTGAAATTTGTAAGTATTTACTTCTCCTTTGTTTCAATCTACTCTTAGCAAAATAAATAAATTTCCTGATATTTAATTTTAAACAAAAATAAAAAATTGTTTCACTATTAAAATTTGATATAAATTATATTCCTTATATAAATAAATAAACAAACAAACAGTGTTTGTACCCCCTTTAAATTTAAAAATAACAAACTGCAATAGTCACGTATTCTTGTAGTTGCTATGTTGTCTCAGCCACTCTAGAAATGCTACATTTGAAATGTACCTCATTGAGCAGAGCGAGTAGATTTTTTGGTCACATGACATCGAGCAAACCATATCAGTGGAGCAAACGGAGCAAAAACGGCAGTATTGAGTAAAAAAAAAGCAAAATGAGGTAGGTACTTTTCAAATGCAGCAAAAGAACTTTTGTCCCTTAGGTAGAGATTTTTATGCAGTTTAAAAGTTTAGATTAATAATTATTCCTTTTAATAATGGAACATTAAGTTTTTTTGTGTACCTTTACACAATTAGAATATAATTTTAAGCTGTTTACAATAAAACTATAAAAACTAGTGTTGGTTTTACTTCTTAAAATACTGTAATTCAAGGTGCTAAAAATCATAATGCTGAAGGTTAGTGAGTTGAATTGTTGAATCAAATTTCCAAGGTTGTAACAATGTTTTGAAAACAAAGAATTTCAAAAATTAAAGTAATTATGGCTTGGTTAACAAAATAATGTTATATTAACATCATCTAATGACCTCACATCAATGTCACTTACCTGAAGCTTCATTGCCATAATGACTATGGTTGTTTCTTGCTCCTGGACTCAGCTGAGGGTTTTTCGGGTAACTATGCAAATGATTTGGCTCTTTAGGACTACCATTGGGAGGAACAAGGCATTCACTAAAAATTAACAATCTACTAAGAAAAAGAAAAAAAATATTACGTCAAGGACTCACCGTCTTGTAAAATTAGTTTCATATTCTCTATTATACTCTTTAGGGTATCTGCTTGGCCATTTTTGGTGATTGTGAGGATGATTTATAGGATGATTGGAACGATTCGGGTGGTTATTGTTGTGTCTGTTGAAATTAGAAGAATTTCTGCGATGTGGGTTGTGGTTATTGGAATTCATTATGGTACCTAAAAGCAAACAAGCTAATAATAACTACAAGCTACTAGCTAAATACTAATACTTACAGTATTTCAACACCAATATTGCTTTGAATAGTGACGAACAATAAAATTATTCAACAAAATCTATCACCATTCACAATAATCACTAATTATTGAGCAAGAGGGGAAACAGTCATTTCACTATTATACATCATGCTATTGATCCACAAGCATTTCGCAACTTTTGCGAAGGTATACAATCAAAACTTAATAATATTATTGCTGGATATATTTAAATGAGAAAAACACTAACAACAAGGTATTGATCTCTTAAATCGAAAAATTAGAGACGTAGGGCACCACTATTTTTTCGTTTTATTTATCTTGTGCTTATCTTTTCAGTGTAGCCAAATTTACAAATACTTGTCAACTTATACACTTACCACACCCGCCAAATTTGAAATACTATTTAACTTTAACGTCCTTTTTAAAATTTAATTTTATTAAAGTTTTAAACTAGTACGTTATAATATAAAATGAAATAACTAACTACTTGTATTTAATAAGAATATACATTTATATAAATTTAGTGAACTTATTAGATTTTTTTTTATTGACAATTAGTTTTGTCTCATTCTCACTCAATTGTTTGTGTGGTTATTGCATGCACACATAGTATTCTCACAAAAATAGTCTGCTCTTTCATTCATGGTAAAACAGTGAAACAGAAACTGAGTATTTATATTTAGTTTTATATTTTAAACGTAAAACTATTTAATTACTTGTTTATAATCTTTCTTTTATTTAGAGTTTCTTGATGTTACATGAATTACTTCAACGAGAAAAAACGAACAAACCTGCTTGAATCATTTGTCAAATGTCATCTAGAACTCGATAACTAGAATGTCAAATATGTCATTTTAAAATATTTGGTATTTGAATTTTAACGTTCGTTCGTTTATCAAGTTGTTCCAGAGGTGTTTACTTATTATATTCTTTCTCCATGGTTATTATATATTTCAAATAAAAATGTCTAATATTAAATCAAAGAAACAAGAACAACAAGTCGAGAGTTACCTGAAGAGGCTAAAAATACCTTCAAATTTTGAAAATGAAACAAAAGATTTAGTTAAAAAAATGGTTCACCATGAAGCTTTTGGAAAGCAGGAGTATGTTCCATATCTTTTTTTTTTTTTTTGTTAAAACCCATGTTATTTTTAGTTTCAAGTGGTCATTAGATAATTTTGAACTTGCATACAGATTAGGAAGAGGAAAATTTGGTCGAGTTTATCTGGCAAGAGAAAAAGTTACAGGTTTTGTTGTAGCTATTAAGACTCTATTCAAAAAAGAAATAGTCAAAGGACGAGTAGAACGACAAATCTTAAGAGAAATTGAGATCCAAAGTCACTTAAAGTAAGCTACTTTATAAATATTTAAAATGTTTACACTCAGAGGGACTTTACAAATCTGTTATGAATAAATATTTATTGCTTAAGCTATGCAATATTTTTTGTTTTATGGATAATCATTATTAAATTACGTATAAATTATACAAAATAGAAAATAGTATTAAAAGGCTCAAAGTAAGTACTGAGGGGTATTTCACACTGGGCAATACATTTATGTTTTATGGAATATTAGTGAGAATTATGTAAGATGGTAAAACTACTAGGTATTACAACTGCATTACTGGTAATATCTTAGTATTAAATGGAATTAAATGACCAATACTAGGAATTACATTGACGTTATTTTAAAGGCACAAGCATCAACATGCAATGTATATATTCATGACCAAACTTAAATCATTTAATGTCAATTTCCTGTAAAATGCAGTTATTTTGAGAGGGTATACCATATACAGTGCTGTCAAGATCACACCCTAACCAGCTACCAACTGGTAAAAGGCAACATTGATAGTACATCCATCCATGCTTTCCTGCAAATGTAAACACTATTTATTATTCACTCCCAACACAATCAAAGTGGAACTAATGGTTTGATCTGGCCAACACTATACAGGTTCCCGCTTAAAATTAATCTACATAAGGGGATTTTAGAAAGTGGTTAGAGACACAGATTTAGTTAAATAGGATAGTTAGTTATCCAGAAAAACTTAGTATGAAAAGATACCACATATCTTCAGGACCATTTTCGAGTTATTTAGAAAAATTGAAGTTTTTGGATTGTTTTTTGTTCTAGTTTTTTAGAAGAAAAAATCTTTATTGGGTAGTACTTAGGTCTCGTGCATATAAACAAAAAAATACTAATTATATTTCCCATGGTGGTTTTTCAGAGTACTTTCTTTTTGGAGCAATGTTGGGGTGTCTATGGATAATCATATGGTTCAGGGGTTCTGTATGTCATTTATAATGGCTAGCTCATTAATCCTTTATTGAATAGAATACATAAATACAAGCTAATTTGTTTATAAAAAAAAATATTTACTTGCATTTTAAGCGAGTAAAGATTTTTTAAATGTTTAATATAAGGGGTTGATTTGAGGGTGATTTACAGCCCTGCAAAATATTTTGAGATATACATTAATAATATCAAATTTATATAAAAAAAGTTTCATTTTATTCCAATTTAAGCAGGCCAAGATTTTTTAAGTATTTAATAAAAGGGCTGGATTTGAGGGTGATTTCCTGCCCGGCAAAATATTTTGAGATATACATTAGGTTGAGCACATGAATATTATCAAAATATTCTGATATATACATCAAATAGAAGGCTTTAATACAAGCTAATTTGTTTATAAAAATATTAATTTACTTGCATTTTAAGCTAGTAAAGATTTTTTAAATGTTTAATATAAGGGGTTGATTTGAGGGTTATTTACAGCCCGGTAAAATATTTTGAGATATGCATTAGGTTGAGCACATAAATATTATCAAATTTATATAAAAAAAGTTTCATTTTAGTCCAATTTAAGCAGGCCAAGATTTTTTAAGTGTTTAATAGAAGGGCTGGATTTGTGGGTGAGTTCCTGCCCGGCAAAATATTCTGATATATACATCAAATAGAAGGCTTTAATACAAGCTAATTTGTTTATAAAAATATTAATTTACTTGCATTTTAAGCTAGTAAAGATTTTTTAAATGTTTAATATAAGGGGTTGATTTGAGGGTGATTTACAGCCCGGCAAAATATTTTGAGATATGCATTAGGTTGAGCACATAAATATTATCAAATTTATATAAAAAAAAGTTTCATTTTAGTCCAATTTAAGCAGGCCAAGATTTTTTAAGTGTTTAATAGAAGGGCTGGATTTGTGGGTGAGTTCCTGCCCAGCAAAATATTCTGATATATACATCAAATAGAAGGCTTTAATACAAGCTAATTTGTTTATAAAAATATTAATTTACTTGCATTTTGAGCTAGTAAAGATTTTTTAAATGTTTAATATAAGGGGTTGATTTGAGGGTGATTTACAGCCCGGCAAAATATTTTTATGATATGCATTAGGTTGAGCACATAAATATTATCAAATTTATATAAAAAAAGTTTCATTTTAGTCCAATTTAAGCAGGCCAAGATTTTTTAAGTTTTTTTATTTATTTATTTATTTATTTATTTATTTATTTATTTATTTATTTATTTATTTATTTATTTATTTATTTATTTATTTATTTATTTATTTATTTATTTATTTATTTATTTATTTATTTATGTATTTATTTATTTATTTATTTATTTATTACAATGCTCTACAGGCAATCCCAATTACAGAGCAGGAATAAAAGAACACATACATTATATAGACTAGTGGTACAAAATATACAAAAATTAGTAAACAGCTAGTAGGTAAAATACAATACAATTTTTTTTTTATGTTAGGAAATGACATTTTATTTCCCTGAGTTTGCATGAGTTTTAATAGAAGGGCTGGCTTTGAGGGTGAGTTCCTGCCCGGCAAAATATTCTGATATATACATCAAATAGAAGGCTTTAATACAAGCTAATTTGTTTATAAAAATATTAATTTACTTGCATTTTAGGCTGGTAAAGATGTTTTAAATGTTTAATATAAAGGCTTGTTTTGAGGGTAAATAATTTTTTGTAATTTAGATACATACGATTTATTACAGTTTGTTTACAATAAAAATAATTCTTCACGGCCCAGGCATGGATTCACAGCCCAGCCATGGATTGATTACCGCTGGCGCTTCGGTTCCCGCCGTCAAACTCACGGCTGGAACTCGTGGCTGTTGTCACGCCGGTGATGTTATTTAGATTTTTTCATATACTTCTACATATCATTTGATTTACATTTTTTTGCTACTTTGATATTGATTCCCTTTTTTGTAAGTTAAAGTTCAGCAGCTGGCTCGTACACTGTCTTTCTTTTTTGTTAGGTATTTTTGAAATTGATTTTTTGGTCTAGTTCTATTGCTAGATATTTACAATGTTGAGTGGGTTTTAGTGTATGATTTTGAATGGTTATGATCGGATAATTTTCTGTGTAGCTGTGGTTAAATATGATGAATTTGTTTTTGGAAGGATTTCTCTTGATTCTCCATTTATTCAAAGAGGAAATTGTGCTATTGTATAAACTTTGGAGTTTCATATTGTGAGCTATAAAGGCAGCGTTCTCAGTAAAGTAAAGGGTATATGAAGACAGAATTTGGTTATTAAAGGGAAGATATGTCATGGCAGAAAAAGTTATATAAAAATGGTGATCCTTGTGGAACTTTTTGTTCCATTGAGAAATATCTTGAGATGTTATATTTAACACATAATAGATAGATAGATAGATAGATAGATAGATCTTTATTTAATTTAGGAAACCCTAATGTTATTAATTAAAAACAGTTTTAAAATTCTGAATAAAAACATACTAAAATTATAATAACAATTGGCGATTTGCTAAGGATTAGGTTATTAGATGGGCAATTGGCTGAAAATAGTTTGTACAGTAGGCTTGTATGTGTGTCACACACTATCAAACGTTTTACTTATGTCCATAAAAATTGCAACCAATGCTTTTCCTTGGCATTTGAAACCAAATTGATGTTTTGGAATATATTCTCCTCCAGCTGTTAATAATTTTTTTTTAATACTTTACCTAAAACTGGTAGTAGCGTTATTGGTCAGTGGTTTGTAACTTCATCTATTAGTGCTAGGTTTATTATAGGTGGGTTCCTTAAGAGTTTTTCTGTACCAGTCATTAATTTTTTCTTGGTGGTAATTGTCAAAATGCATATCTTCAAGGACTTTATGGTTGATTCAAAATTATTGGCAAATATATCTGCAATATCTTGTGGAGAAGTATACCAATGTCCATTTTCTTCTAGAGAAGTGGTGCTTGACTGTTGTTTGTAACAGTATAGTTTCTTGATCTCTTGTCTGATTTTCTTTTCCACTTGAGTTGTTGATTTGTGTACAGGATTCCCGCCATTTTTGAGTTTTATACTGAGAAACTAGCAATATGTTTTTGTTCACTTTGTTGAATTTTGTTTTGACTTGGGGTTGTTCTAATTTCTTTGTAAAGGCTCGCTTTGATTTGATGAATTTTAGGAAGTTCGAATTTAAAAAAGGATTTGGCCTTAGTTGGGGGTCCATTCTGTAACAATTCCTTTATCCGTTAAAATATTGGCGGCCTTTAAAAATATTTTCGAATGCGCAAATTTACTTCTGCCATTATTTAAACGGATTTCTTTAAGATAGTCCTTTAATGTATTTTAAAGGAATCCGTTTAAATAATGACAAGTAATTGAATAAATACGAAAATATTTTTAAAGGCCTTCAATATTTTAACAGATAAGAATAGAATAGACCCCTTTGGGTCTATTCTGTAACAATTCCTTTATATTTAACGGCCTTTAAAAATATTGGCGGCCTATAAAAATATGTTTGTATTCGTTAATTTACTTCTATCATTATTTAAACAGATTTCTTTAAGATAGTCCTCTAATGTATTTTAAAGATCCGTTTAAATAGTGACCGAATTAAAGAAGAAAATATTTTTAAAGGCCGTTAAATATAAAGGAATTTTTACAGAATAGACCCCAAAGGAATTGTTACAGAATAGACCCCTTGGTGTGTTTGATAAAACTATTTTTTGTACATGTTCAATGAAATTTTATATTTTAGATAGAATAAGTTCTGGATTGTCATTTATGTATAATTTCAAATTTTTATTTATGATTGCCATATCACATTTTTGAAAGATATGTTTAAGTTGTGACTATATTTAAAGGCCTTCTATCCAGATTTAGTGTTATAGTCTAAGATCCAAAGTAAGGTCGACATTCACCCATCTGTTTAATGGATGAATTTTTTTATTAAATAAAATGTGTTGACTTAGAAAATACTGTCAAGACTATTAAAAAAAAAAAAAATGACACCCAGATGCTTCAACTCTGTCCAAAATTTAATCAGCTCAATACAGGATGGATTAAAGCGTAAGTTTAAAATTTGGTGTTTTTCTCTTTATCTGTTTTTGAGTTATATTCGAAATTTGCACTTTTCCTTAAATATCTCGAATACGGTTCATTTTAGGGAAATCATGTATAGGATCAAAATTATAGAGAATGCAACTTTTATCAGGATTCCTATACTTTCCTTATCTGTATACAGAAAGAAAAGTAAAAAATAGCCATGACAGTATTTTCTTAGGCAACCCATTTGCGGTATATTTAGAAACATATTTTATTTAATAAAAAAAAACTTTCATCTGTTAAGCAGATGGGTGAAGGTCGACTTACTTCACAAAATTACATCGCGGGCATTTCCTGGCGTCAGATCCCTGTATACTTCACCCCAATATACATCTCATTTTAAATTGTCCCTTGCAATGGTCGGAACTTTCATAAAAAATATAATTGCACAATACACAAAAAATGTGAAATGTTTTCTGAACAAATCAACAAAAGTTAATGTAGTTATTTCTCAATTTGACTATAATTACCACAATAAACACGTAGTGAAAACAAAATTATATTTTTTCAAATTCAAATTGGTAACGAGTTTTGTGGAATAAACCATGAAGTTGATTTTTTTAAATATTGAGCTGAATAATTAGCATAAGTACCAAATTACTGCTCTGATGAGTTTTGAATTAGATTACAAATTTGAACCAAATATTCCATTTTTATTATTTTTTAGACACCCAAACGTTTTACAGTTGTTGGCTTATTTCCACGATTCACATAGGATTTATTTGGTATTAGAATATGCTGGAAGAGGTGAACTTTATAAACATTTGAAGGCATCTGAAGGTGGCAGATTTAATGAACATCTGTGAGTATTTTATTACGTAACATTTTTAGAGTGTCATGAATGCACATTAATTGATTATTTAAATTTCTCTAGCTTAGTAAGACTTTATACAACATGAATAAAAAAAAATCTAATAAAAACTGTTTATCTTTACTTTTTATATTATCCTAAACCCTAAATTTGTAATGTTAACCTTACAAGTATTACAATTATTATGCAAGCATTATTGTAAGGAATTGTACAAAATCAACTCTTGTATATGAGATGTCAAGAAACATCTTATAGAGTTAGTGTAAAAATAAGCCTTATCGAGAAATATCAGAAGGTATAACAAAAAGGGAATATGTTGCATATATTATATTTTCAATAAAGCATTTAACAGTGTTTAAATTGTAAGATGCAGAAGAGTTAGGGTTACAGATATATATTTAGCCATTTTTGATTACTATTGGCATTGATTACTTTTACATCTAATTCCAACTTTTCTTTCTAAACTATTATTCAAATCTTCTTAATTTAATTCTACTGTTTTTTTATAGATACCTGTGTATATTGTTTTTTTTTTTTTTTTTTTTTTTTTTTAATTGTGATTTCGATATTTTTTTTTAAATAGGAAAAATAATGTAACTATTTTTCGTGGTATTTCTCTTTGTAACTAAATATTTTTTATACACGAAAGACACTGGTGCAAGTTGAAATATTCAGAGCACCCCAAAAATTTAAACAATCTGTATCTCAGAAACGAAGCATTTTTCGACCTATGTTTATAGGAACTTGTTTAACAAAATCTTTCGCACTTATTTATAAACATTCTGTATATTCATAATAATAATAATGCTTTATCAGTTTTAATTAGGTATATTGCTCTATCAGTTTAAATTTTGAATTTTGTTGCTTTTATTTTTAAAATATAGATTTATTTAATTTATAATTGGAACACTTTTAGGTCAGCAAAGTATATATATCAGGTAGCAGATGCCATAAATTATTGTCATCAGAATGCAGTAATACATAGAGATATTAAGCCTGAAAATCTTTTATTAACTATTACTGGAGACATTAAACTTGCTGATTTTGGTTGGTCCGTCCATGCTCCTTCCTTCAGTAGAGTTACTTTGTGTGGTACTTTGGACTATTTACCTCCAGAAATGGTTACAGGCAAAGAGTATAAGCAGTACGTTGATCATTGGTGTTTAGGTAAGAAAAGTAATAAATACAATCAACATATTATTTCTTTATACAATATTTCTAGTTAAACATTTTAAAATGGATAAATGTTATTTGAATATCTTTAGGAATGTGTTAACAAAGAAGAATATAAAAAAAATATCTAAATAATATATATTTATTTATTTATTTACGGGTTAAAGCCCATTTTAGGGGGCGTCCATTAATTACGTGAGGTATTTTTAAGGATTTTTTGACTCCCCCTCCCCCCCTGGCGAGATTTGGTAAGATTTTCCTTAACTCCCTCCCCCCTTCCCTAATCTCACGTGAGATTTTTCAAAATTCGTGTTTTAGGTGTAAATGTGTTGGATTATTAAAAAAAAAAACAGTAGAGGTGTGTAATGTGACACTTTCCAACCTTCAATGACGTTAGTAATGACAACATTACATATATGGTTGTAAATAAACATAATTATAAGACTTTTCCATATTTTATTCTAGAAATACTTTTACTATAATTTAACTTTACTTTCACGCAATTTTACACCGTTTTATACTAGAAAAAAAATTACGTGAGATTTACGAAAACCCCCCCTCCCCCCTAAGTGAGATTTAGAAAGATTTAGTTTTATCCCCTCCCCCCCCTTGAACACCTCACGTAATTAATGGACGCCCCCTTACAGATTAGTATATACAGATCCATAACAAATGTAAAATGACTGACATTACAGCCAGTTATAAACTAATAATTAAAAAAAGAAATATAAATAAAAAAAAAAAAAAATAGAAAAAAAAAATTAAAAATATTCAACAATTACATATTAACTTTATTATTAGCTTTTTATGGCTCTTTTAAAAGCACGAAGAGAATTATTTATTTATTTATTTATTTATTTATTTATTTATTTATTTATTTATTTATTTATTTATTTATTTATTTATTTATTTATTTATTTATTTATTTATTTATTTTTTTATTTATTTATTTACGGGCAAAGTCCAATTCAGTTTACATACACTAAATACAATATAAAATAAAAAATACAATAAAATAGAATAGTGATTTCATAAAAATTAAGTAAAATATAGAATAAAATGGTTAGATAAAACAGTGGACATTAATGTACAGAACAGCAATTAAATTATAATGTGTATAAATGAAAAGTATGGAATTGCTTGAGACGTTCAAATATTCAGTGTAAGTGGTTCTTAAATCCTTGAACAGAACTGTCAAAAAGTAGAATATCATAAAGAGAGTTAAGTGTTCTAGGAATAAAATTAATTAAACGCATATTTGTAACGGTGAAAAGGTACATGGAGTAACGGTGAAAAGGTACATGGAATGTTTGAATTTGTCTAGTAGTATGTGACGGCACAAAAAGATTAATTCTGGAAAGGAGGTCTGGGCAATTAACCTGCCATTGATAATATTGGACAGTATGGTAAGATCTTTTCGTTTCCTACGAACTTCCAGAAAAGGTATGCTTAAATATTGTTGCAATTCCGCATAATTGTAGTAAATGTTAAACTTAAATGTTATGTATCTAAGAAAATTATTTTGAACTCTATCCAGTTTACTTTTATGAATTAAGTAGTGTGGGAACCAGACTGAGGAGCAATAATCAAGTTGTGCCCTAACTAGAGAGAAGTATAGCATTTTAATTGTGTTTATATTAGTGAACTCATGAGTTGTCCTCTTGACAAAGCCCAGCATTTTCATTGATTTTTGAACTGTAGCAGTGATATGGCCATTAAAGCTCATGGAAGAATCAAAGGTGATCTCTAGATCCTTGATTTGATCGACAGGGTCCAAAACATGTTGAAATAAACTATAATTATAAGTTATTAAATTATGGCTGCGACAAAATCGAATGTGACATTTGTTAGTATTTAGATCCATGCCATTACTAGAGCACCAACTTTCTAGTTTATTTAAATCCGACTGCAAAATCTGAGTGTCGGCATTATCATGAATGATCTTGAAGCATTTCAAGTAATCTGCAAACAATAGGGCTTTAGTGTTAGGAAAGCAAGTTGTGATGTCATTAATAAACAGGTCGAATAGTAGTGGTCCTAAGTGAGACCCTTGAGGGACACCCGAAGTTACTGGGGAAATTTGCAGGGTTTCGGAGGATATATATATCAAGTGATATATATCACGAAATATATCATGATATTTATATCTTGATATATATCCGATATATTCGATAATTTTATTTATTAAATTAAAAATGTTTTACACTATTCTGAACATCCGAAAATGTCTCAATACGCCCCTGTATAAAAGTATAATAACTAGCGATTAATATGTGTTTGTGTTAAATATTAATGGTCACAAAATAATGTTAAAATCTGTTAATTTTATAAATTATTTTTGTTTTTTCTTTTTAATTTGGGTTAGAATAAACGGTTTTGTTATTTAGAATATAAGTTTTTGTTAATATGTTTGTGTTAAAATTTAAAATATAGTTTGTTACCGTTTTCAATTAAATAATTAAATTTTAAAACTGATATATATGCGATATATCAGATATATATCATGTGATATGATATTTATATAAATATCATGATATTTTCGAACCCTGAAAATTTGGGAATAATGATGATTTACTCGAACCTGTTGAGTCCTATTTGTTAGATAACTACCGAGCCACTGTAATTATGGACATTTTGTCCGTAGTTAGTGTGATGAAAAATTATACAAAATAGTTCAACATTCCACGTACGTCTTTCATTTACATTGAAAAGTAACAAGTTCAATTGTTTAGAATTGGATATAACACCATTTAAAATTTTACATGAAAAACATAAGTCGAATACTATTCTCCTGTGCTCAAATGTTTGCATGTTTAATTGGAGAAGAATATTTTCCCAATTAATATCTATTCCGTTTATGCCCATTGATTAATGTAAACATAATTGCGGGACCAAATAGAGCAGCAATATTTTAAGTTAGACCTGACCAAAGTCGAGTACAGCAGTTTAAATGTGTTAATAGAAAATTGTCTACTGTTCCTCTGAATAAATCCTAACATTTTAAATGCCTTAGAGGTTATTTGACTAATGTGAGTGTTAAAGGAAAGCTTACTGTCCATATTAACTACCAAATCGCCAACATTGTCATTGGTTTGTAGCACACTATTATTAATTCTGTATGAATAGTGAACTGATGACATTTTTTAACATTTAAGTACAACACATTTACATCACACCAACGGAACAATCTAATTAAATCCTCTTGTAGTAACAAAGCATCTGTTTCATTGGAAACTGATCTAAATATTTTCACATCATCAGCAAACATGAGATATTTACTGTTAGAGATGACACTAGACAGATCATTAATAAATAAATTGAATAACAACAATATTTTAAGATATATTATTATAAACTTGTTTTATTTGGTATTTTAAGGTATTCTGTGTTATGAGTTTTTAACTGGAAACCCACCTTTTGAAAGTAAAGAACAGGAAGAAACTTACAAAAAAATTACAAGTGGCAATGTATATTTTCCTGATTATATGTCTGCAGGAGCCAAGGATCTGATTTCTAAGGTAAATGTTGAATTATAAATACATAATTATTTTATATTGACAATTGAAGACATAAGTGGATAAAGGTGTCATGTCACAAAAAGGATTATTTCAAGAAAAACAAGTTTAAACTTTTACAATTGCATTATGATATATGGCTTATGACACCTTCCTATCTGATGAATAGCCGTTATTTATCAAAATTGGAAATCAGAACTATCGCAAACAAAAAATATAGTATATTTTAAGTATATTAGGCAAAAATAATTTTTTTAGTAAATGTGACATGTCACTTTTATCCATTTGAGTCTTCAATTATTTTCTTTGGTTCATTTTTTTAATCAATTATTAAAGTATACATCTGTATGTTTCTTTTATGATTACCTACAAACAATTTCAATTCAGATCTAAATAATTCAAAATATTTATGATATGAAATTTTTAAAAGTGTCCAGTTTTAGATCAAAATAGATTGCAAATAGTTATAAATACACCCTTTTTGTCAAATTTTATTTTAATATTAAAAATGAATCCATCCCATCTTTATGCTTTCATAAATTGCATACATATCTAAATAAAGGGTGTACCACTATAAAGTAATACATTTTAATAGCTTATAACTCAAGAATGGAAAAAAATATCGACGTGTAGTTTTCGCTAAACTTATTAATTTGTTTTTTGTTGACATATTTGCCAAATTTATATTTTTTCCCTAAACTGCTGAAACAAATGAGTTTTTTAAACTAAATTATCGGTTTATTTTAAATAGAACACCCTATATTTTTTCATACCATCTGAAAAACAATATATACATTGTGATTATTTATTAAAGGTTTGGAGGATACATTTTTTTATGAATCTACTTCGAAAAAATATTATTCTAAGATTGTTATAGTTCTTCCATTATCAATTGCAGAACATAAAAACCCGTTCGGAACCTTTACCGACAATTTTGTTTGATCTGCCATAGGCGTAGATACCTACCTCATTTTATAAATTTATTTTATAAATACTTCTAATATATATCATATGCAAGAAAGTATTTGTTAAAAGGAAATCGAATCATTATAAATTGAACGTTATTGTATGCCTTAATTTAGACAGATGCACATAATTGTAGTCTTACTTGGACTTAAAAAAAATCATTATAGCTCGTTAACTTGCTACAACTGAATATTAAATTATAAAACGTAAAAAACCGAGTAAAGTGTACCTGCCTGTAAGGGCGTTTGGTTTAAACAGGGTACCAGACGTGAACTGAGCCCTTTTTGTACCCCATTCGTTTTTTTTTCTGCAAAACGAAATTTCAAAGCAAAAACCATAAAGGAAAATAAATTCTTTGCAAATAAAACAAAAGAAAAAAAAACAATTCAATTCTAAAGTATCTTTATAAATAATCATGGCAGTCTAAATCCTCTGAACTAGAGTCATCATTTGGTTGAATTATGATGGGTTGTAAAGAGGGTAATACTACATACTCATCTTCTTTATATTAACATGTTCGACACAGTTTTTCCAAAGCTCTTGGCGGTCTGCTGCTAGAACTTTCTTTACGAGTTCTACAACCTCTTTACTCAGTTCTGGAGACTGATTACAATTTCGTAATTCTGATTTTACGTTTGCCCATATTAACTCTAGGGTTAAATATGCAATAGTAAGGAGGTAGTCTGAGAAGAGTATGACCCTGTTCTTTGCACAGCTTGTCAATATAATAAATTTTTCACTTCATGCCTTTAATAACAGTAAGCAATTCTTTGTTTGTTGGGCCTTTTTTACGATCACTGGCAGGAATAGGAATATTTTTTTCAGACATAAACGCTAAAATTTGAGCTTTGTTACTGCTACTATTTGGTATTTTAAGGAGTTGCCGCGAGTGGTAGGATGCATTGTCCATAACGATTACTGACTGTGGTGGAATGTTAGGTAAAAGTTGTTCAGTAAACCATTTTTCAAATAATTCTGCTGTCATATCTTCATGATAATCAGCTGCACAGTTTTTAATTTGTTTAGCAGATAATAATAAAGCATTAGGCACGAAACCGTCTTTGCTTCCAGCGTGTACTATTATAATACGTTTCCCTTTAGAACATGGACCATTCAAACAGCAATTTTTACTACTGTCAACCCAACCGAAATTGACTACATCGTGACTGTCAAACCATGTTTCATCTAGATAAATTATGTGTCTTATTAGAACTTCTGTACTCTTTTATCTGACGCAAATAATCTTGTCGTCATTGAACTATCCTTGACGATTCGGTGATTGCCATCCGTTTATTCAATTTTTTGTGTTTAAAACCACATGCTGACAAAACTTGACGCACTGTTTCCAAACTGGTATAAGTGTATCCTGGAAAATCTGCTACCTTTTGCTGTATTACTTCCAATGTCGGAACCCTGTTCTCCTTATATAAACTATAAATTGTCCTTCGTATAAAATCTTGGGTAGCTCTGTCAACTGATTTCAGTTTTTCTTTACATATTTTTCGGTTTTGTGAATGATCCACAGCAACCCCTTTTGTGACTACGCGATAAATGGAAAATTTATTTACTTTAGTTAATTCAGCAATTTTTATTATGATCGCATTATCAGACTGCTGAATATTTTCCTTTTTTAAACATTCGAATATATTTAAAATAACTTGTTGTGTTTGTATATCTAAATCCTTATTGTTAAAGCCATACCTGTCTTTAATCTCACTACACTGTGCAATTTCATTTTCTTCATTCGCCCATGGTCTAAAGAACGCCATATTTATATTTATTAAAAGAAATTTAAATTAAACCAACCACACATACAAAACACACCGCACGACAGTACTCCACTGATATCGCAGAATTCGCAGACTGTCTTCCAGGAATATTTTCGAACACTCCGTAAACCTTCGGCCAATACAGTGCATTTAAGTTTACGATTCGATGTTTTCATTGGTAAACAACGGAGATGATGGATTTTGACACATATATATCAAGTACACGTGGACTGACCGTTCGTTTAATATTTACCGCATTGTATAAGGGGAGTAAACATTATTTTTCGTTCATAAATTTGGCATGAGTGCCGTGCGTATATATTAAATATTGATGATTCCCCACATAAATATGTTCTGCAATTGATAATGGAAGGACTATAAATTTTCTGTTAAAGTTTATTTATTTTTTATAAATTTTTATGGGTTTTTTTCTGGTTTACTTCATATTATAAAAGATTAATACTCTTATAATTAACTGTGTCCTTTTTCCAAAGCCGCCTGACATATTAGACACCATTTTATCAAGGTGGTTTTGAAAAAATATAACTGACATTAAGAAACGTCAAATAATTTATATGAAGTAAATCAAAAATGAACACACTCAAATTTATTGATCGAAAATGTAAAAAATGCCGTTGTTTTCGGCAATTTCAGGAAAAAATATACATTTGGCAACTATTTCAACAAAAACTTAAAGCAAATGCAAGAAGTTTAGCAAAAACTTCACGTCAATATCTTTTTCCATTCTTGAGTTTTAAGCTGTTAAAATGTATTATTTTCTAGTGGGACACCCTGTATATTGTAGCCATGTATTCTGAATTGGCATCAGTGATACATTACATTTCATTAATATTCAGGTTAAACTTTCATTATTTAAACACAAAATAATTTAATGTAATTTTGATTTTGATTACTCATACACGAAAATAAATAATATTAATAAAAATAATAATAATAATAATAATAATCGACTTTACTGTTTTTAATAAATCTTGTTATCCCCCAAATGTAGCATTGTTATTGATTATCTTCTCTGAATTCCAATTTTCCTTTCTTATTACTATCATTGCCTTCCCGATAATTTTTTTAAAGCTATTGTTTCATTGTATTCAAATATAATTTTCAGTTTATATTATTCACACACTAATGATTAATTTTGAATATTTTTTTTATAGTTTCTAGAGCTTGTTTAACAACATTGATTATTTAAAACTTTCTTGTGAGCAAATGTTATTATTTTGAACAATATTACCTTAATTTAGTCTATTTGTTAGAAATTTGATCAAATCCATACTACTTCTCAAATACTCTTATCTACGTTTTTTTTTACATTTTTTCAGTTTGTAATTATACGTCCCTTTTTAAAACTGATGTAATTAGTAAGGACTATATCTGATACTCATTTCCAAGTAAAATTTACAAGCAATTAGAAATCTGTTTTAAGTTGCACAGGAATTTAAACAAATATTTCATTGTATTGTTTTATAAAATATAGGTAGAGGAGCATATGTCTGCCTCCCTGCCTGCTTATCCATAATAATTTTTTTTATAAACTTAAAAAATTAAAATGATGTAGGTATTTATAATATTTTATATAAACAAAAAATTCCTTGGTTTATTCGGTCATATTGCTAAAAAATAAAAAAATGAAAATAAAATGAAAAAAAAAAAATAATAAATAAAAAAAACAATATGACCGAATAAACCAAGGAACAATTTATTTATATAAAATTCTACTGGTCAGGAAATTATCCTTATAAATATTTGTTTATGATTGTTGACTGATTCATCAGTAAAATGCTCCCTTGGGGGTGGCTTGTTCAGTAAATTATCTTACTATATCTGAATATTTTGAAGTAGTGTCTTTTGAAATGTATTTAATTTAAATTGTTTGTTTTTATAGCTTTTAGTTGCTAAAAGTGAGAAAAGACTGTCACTACCTGAAGTAATGCGTCATCATTGGGTTGTTGAACATAAAGACAAAAAGATTTCTTCCTAATGGTTTTAATTTGGTTTTGTTTTTAGTTAATTGACTGTATTATTTAAAATTGTCTTATGTGTATGCTTATTTAAAATATTAAAGTAGATAATAAATGTATCTTTATTATTCGTTTCTTTCTTCTAAGAGAGGGAGGGAGGGTGGTTTTATTACACAGCCTTAGACCTCCTAAGTCCCATTGTGCATCCTCCAGGGTATGTCCTGCCACTCAACTTGTCAAAACCTGCTGATTGGCTATCATTCGTTAAAATAAATGTTACTTTGTAACACGATACTGAAAAATCATGTCCGTGAAGTTAGCACTACCAGTTTGTAATTTTTCATTTTTGAATATTGGAAAATTGTCACTTTTTGGCGTGGAAAAAGAAAATTTGTCGCTCATCTTCTTTTCAAAATAACCCCTGGTAGTGCTAACCTCACAGTAAAGTTAGCACTACAAATCACCAGAATGAGCATAAATTACATTTTTTATATGAATAATTTGTCGTTTTTGTTGTAAATTTGTGGTAAAAATAAATTGTTACTTCTCCCCTTTTAATGCTAAGTTTACAGTAAATATCTTGGCTCAGAAATTTACGGATACCAGTAAAGTGTTAAATATACGAAATAATTTTTAGTGATCAATTAGTGCTTAAAAAATATTAAATGAGTTCAACAAGGGGATAAACCCCATGACCCCGGGCATAACGACTCTTTTAACAAAAATATTGGATGATGACATGATCTGAATGGATTTTTTTTAAATGGAACAGCTATATCACAAGCTAATTCTACTGTAAGTACAACTAATGAAAAAAAGAACGAGAACAATACACCCAAAAATGGAAGTGGAAGGAAAAAACCAAAATAGTTATTTATGTATAAACAACACAATAGCGGCTCATTTCCTAAGGCTATCCATGATTTTACTGACACAACTGCAATTAAAATCCTTTATTGTTCACTAGTCCGACCTCACCTAGATTATTACTCTTCTGTTTGGCCTCCATATTAGATAACGCACAGCAGAAACAAAGAAAATGTCTTTAGATACATAGCCTATAAATTATGATTTTATAGAGAATTTTCTGAACATCCCCTCTTTGGAAACTAGGAGGAAACGGAGACACCTAATATTACTTTTCAAAATTATCAATGGCAGATGCAGCTGTACTGAATTTCTAACAAAAATAAATCTTTATGTTCCAACGCACTCAACTCGACAGCAACAAACATTTTATGTACCTTTTTATCGTTTAAACCATACTTTGAGCAGCTGTATTCCAACAATGTTGTTAAGATTAGCCAACACTCGTAACGATCTTGAGATATTTAACACCCCCTTTCATAAATTTATAAAGCAATTACTTAGTACTGAACTTTGATTTTTAATGTAAATATTTTATTCAACCTTATTGTCTTTTTAAATCTTTTAAATTCTTTACCTATTTTAGTCTATATGTAATGAATTGTACCACGATTGTATTTGAGCACCATATATATTTCACTACATTTTAATTATAATTTTAAAATTGTAATTTATTTTTCAAATGGGCTTACCCGTACATAAATAAAAATTAAAATAAAATTTCATGTATATGTGGAAAATAATCAAGTTAAATTTACAGATAGAATAAATGCATTAAAAATAGGTGATTATTCTAATGAAGGACCACATACTTTTCTTTTGCAAACGGGAGTACCGTCAAAATGTCTCAGTTTTTGATGTTACATAATTTGATGTCCCTATCCTATGGCTAAGTTTTGTGATACAGGGTGTTGAAGTTATAAATCCCTATTTCTTTAAACTGACTACCAAAAATCAATTTTATTATTATTTTTGAAGTTATACATACTTAAATAATGTAATCAAAATATTGTCACTTACAGGGCGATTCATGATTCCGCAGATCATTTTCGGTCAAAGTAGGTATTTCTACCGAACAAAAATAGCTGAAATAACAAAAAAAATCAGCTCCAAAGTCTCTGAATATTTGATATTATATAGTTCTCGGTGTATTTTTTTGAAATTATTATTGGCATGACTAGTTTTCTATATACAACTTAATATGTACCTAATATTTATGAATTTTAAACAAGTATATACTGACATAAGGATATGTTCAAGAGAAATTCCGAAAATATATATATACCCCTTCTATTTGGAGCCAAACAAAAAATTTCGTTCTTACAGGGTATTCGCGGTTGAATAGGTAAGATGAAAAAGTCAACAATAAGTGTTGAAATTGTTGCCAAAAAATAGAAAATAATTGTCTTGTAAGTTGCACCTTGTTCATTAAAAATATCTTGACCTAATACCCTTAACCTTGGCATAAATTTAGTCTAATAGATCCCCACGAATTGATGTTAAAAAGACCCCCAGAATTACGTTTAGAGTTCAATGTAGCTGTAATGGAGGAAGAACAAAGTAAACACAAAGATTAATTTTGAATACTGTTTATTTAACATTTATTCTTTTGTACAGCCGGACATTTAGATTATGTGCCGTTTTTAGGCTTAACATTATGTAGGCTTTCCAATGTGTCATTTCTAACCTCAGAGCTTTTAGTTCCCATAAAAGGGCAAAATAAAAGTACGGAAGTACTTTGGTATATTTGTTTGTCTCCTAATATACAATCACACCTTTCCATGGAAATACTGAATAACGCATTGTACAATAAAAGAGTACAGCGGTAGTACGCTGAGTTCCGCGAGATATAGATTAATATATGTAATATGTGTAAAAACCGAAGTGTGTCACGCCTCTTACTACTATTCCATTGCCGTAATGTACTGATATACTCAGTTCTGTAAGGAAAACACTAAAATGATCGATCGTAGAACACCTGATATAAAGGGGGACGCCCGTCAGGCCCACTTTTGGGGTATTTCAGTAGAGATCTATCCTGCCTCTATCAGTCTTTAATTTACATAGCCGCAAGGGAAATACCATTTTCAGGCCCTTACTATTGAGGTCCCTGGCGGTGTATGGTGGCATAAGTTCTGAGGATACGTTAGGTAGTCCACAAACACAATTTCACCTATTTATTCTAAATAAATAACAAACATACCGACTACTTCCGCGTAATGTCCCGCTAAAGGTATGTGGATATGAACAAATGAATCCTACCCTCCTCAATATTAATGATTCTACTCGCCGCTGTACATATCCCCTTTTTCCAGAAAAATTGATATACAAAACTAACACCCCTTACGGCTAAAATGACACATTTGTCTACTCAATTTTGTTTTACAAAGTACGACAGAAACATATTTTTAACCGCAATCTAACTTTAAAATATACACAAATCAAGATATTGACCCTACTAGTCTACATCTGTTTGCCATTTAAAAGTAAAGCCGAAAGTGAGTTTCCTCTTTACTGAAAGGGATAGGTACTGTTTACAGACAAAAAAACTTTACAATTCGGCCCTTTGGCTATAAATCTAAATGACCTTAATTTATTACTTGAGAATGTTTACCGACTTTACAACAATTAATATTTATGACTACATCACTATTGATTCTCTAAATAGTATAATTTAGCACAATATAAAAACCCTATAATTTTTCCCACAACAAACGTTTATCAATGAATACCAAAAATATGACAATAACACAGACGCAAATTTTCCCGCTAATGAATATAAAAGTAATAAAGTGATACCTGTAACCAGTGTAACCCATCAATGTTAGTCTAAACTCTCCCCTCGAGTATATGAATATTAAATACTAGTTTTATTACTTTAATATTGCGATTATCGTTTTAATTCTACGTAAAAGAAACCTTACAGAAAAAAAGTATACCGCTTTTAAAAGCATCTACCTGGCGGAAGTTCGTCGGGTCAGCCTTAAGGGTTTCGAAATCCACTACGAACGTCGCCTAGAGTAGTACTTTTAATCATTTAGTAACACTTTATAATGTTGAATCGGAGATACAAAATATTTGACGTTTAACTATACTAGCGTGGTCTCACCAGTATCAGTTACGCCAATATTTTAGTCGCTCGGTAGATACAACCTTACAAAACAGTTATAGGAGCGAAATCTGGTTCTATTCAACGTGTATCTACTTGGTAAACCTGACTATATATCTCCTTTTACTTATATATAAAATATAAGAAAAAGGTGGTCATCCTAAGGACAACTGGATATCTATGCAGAAGCCGTCATTTATAGAAACTAATTTCACTACTCCGTCGATATCTTTTATTTCCGTTCTCAAAATATAACAAAAGAGCGGCCACCGTAAGGGTAGCGATAGCTCTTTTTAATAATTATATTTGAAGAAGCGGTAACGTGAATATTTGCGTTTTTTGTTAACTTGGCTCGGTGAAGATGAAAAAGCTAATTCCCAATCCACAAAAACCCTGGTATTTATACTTAAATTTCCCATATATGCAAATGTATCGGAAAGAGAACGACTGTGAATTCAGTGCATAAAAACTATGAAGCCCTGTATTAATTCCTGAATATAGCCCTATCGGTTTACATCTGGTCTTTTAGCTAGCGGCCGTTACAGTTTACACGTCGATTTCTTTTCACAGAAGTAATTAAACGGCGCCTACGAGTCGGGAGATGCTGGGATGTTGTTTGAATTCGAAATAAAAATTTGATTATAATATGTAATATATAAGAATTATTTAAATTAATTATCAATCCCCGGTTGTCGGATTTCATTATGATCTTACCTACTTCGATAAAGTAGTCTATTTTCGCGTTTTTCCATATAACTAGAATGTACATATTGCCTGGATATTGCTTGCTCTAAAGATATTGCATAGATGTGGATTTAACACATCCTTACCCTTCCCCCGGGATTTGTACGGCTTGAATTTGTTGATGGCCCAACCAATCCAGTCTAGTTGAGTTGGTCTAATCTACTTTTGACTAGCTCCCTTGATCTCTTGAGTCTAGACCTGTTAGGATTGTTGAGAACGGAAAGTACACCTGAAATAGTATCTCTAGACTTTCCTCTAGTATCATAGTGTAGGTATCATCCTCTTTTTTGAGAGATACGACTTGGCTAGATGAATTGTTTCTGCTATAACCCTGCGGATTCTAGTACTTGCAGTGGTCTCTGTTACCTTTATGCAGAATTTTATGAATTTCTTTTAGCCTTGTGTACTTTTGTTGTATTCTGTGAGCTTAT